AGTTGGCGGTGGGTGGTGATGACTAGCTTCCTTCCCTCTAGTCTTACACTGCTAAATTAGGGACGGCTAGCGTAGGCAACTATCGTGTAGCTTTGTTCGAAATTCAAAACAAACCAAACCAAAAATCTAAACAAGTAGAAAGACCGTTACATCTAAGTATTTATCGATGTACAACCAAGAAAGAAACAGCTCAGAAACATGATATCCTAGTGTTAGTGTGACACTAACATGTTTTGAAGCGAGGTATTGAAGAGATGATATAATGGTTGATTTGTTTGAGCTATCTGTCCTGTGTCGACCACGGGAATCGAAACCCTGTTCTTAACGTTATAATCCTTCAGACTTATTACCGAGCCACAGTTTACAGGCCTCGAATATATAGACAGCCTGTGTATTGTTATCAACCTAAGGGGCCCCTTGTGCGATGCACAAATTCTCCTAAAATATTACACGGGGACGAAAATTTATTGTTTTCATTATTAAGATTTTAAAGTTTTAAACAGATACACGTTACAAAAGAAGTTTGGGTTAATTAAGTCAGAATTTCTCACTATAAGCGACACCTTATTTACAAGTGACCTAAATGGACTTGTTTTGATTTACGAACCAGAACAGTCAGTACCCGCCGCCACAAGTGCTTTAATCGGTTTTTGAACCAAATAAATGTATTGACTGATATTTTACAATGAACTTAAAACTGAAAGTACGGAGCTTGTTCAGTAGCATTTAGTCTCGAACCTTGGATTACCGCATCCGTAGCCCGAACGCTAACCACTAGGCCATGCCCGGATCTCCAATCGGTTAAAATATTCGGTTGTTTTCTTGTTTTTAGGTACTCACTTAATTTCATATATGGTAGTCATATTCTATTGAATCAGTGTTATGAATATAAGTGGTTGACAGTTAGCTTCAAGATTAGGTCTTTTATTGGTGTTACGTATCCAGAAGAAATGATAAGCAGGCGTATAAATAACGATGGTTTGTCTAATCATGATTACGTTTCTGTTATTAATACTATCAAGATATTTAGTTATCAGGCCCAAAATCATCACGAGCTTGTATGAAGGTTATTCATTGTATTATGTTATTAAAGTTTGTATTCCCTCCCCTAAAGAATGTCCTTGTGGTATACTCAGGTGCAGCGAATTCTAGCTGATCAGCCCGCTAAAAGGGGGTTCAACTAGTACTATATAGCAAAACATGATGTATCCGTTATACTCTGTACTCTGACTGCGTCGTCACAAAGGAGTCAACACATAAAAATATAAAAGCTACAGTCTTTAATAATAAAACAAACACAACACAATGAAACAAAACAAAGGGCATGTGTTTGTTGGTTCTCTTTCACCAATCCAGTGTGATCTCCCAGCCATGAGTAAAAAAAAACGAAATTAAGAAAGGAAATAAAATTACGAGTTAACAGCTAAGATAACTCCCGTTTAATGCTATGAAAATCATTCTTTTAACTTTAAGTTTGTTTGTAATTTGTTTGTTTGTTTGTAATTAAGCACAAAGCTACACAATGGGCTATCTGTGCTCTGCCCACCACGGGTATCGAAACCCGGATTCTAGCGTTGTAAGTCCGCAGACATACCGCTGTGCCACTCTAATAAGTTAAGTGAAAACAAAATTTTGCAAAATCTGAATTAAATATAAATCTTTTCAAAATCTGAATCTTAGTCAAAATCTGCCTAACAGAAAATAACATAGTTTTAAATAACACAATAATATCCAGATTGAACACATCACGCTCTTTGTGCAAGTGATTTTCATCAACTGTGATCCAAGTGCAAGGGTGTGGCAGCGATGGACACGATTCACTGAAAGAAAAGACAACTGTCAATTTCTGAGACGTCATAAGCTATCACTCCTGCAAGAGAATGTGGATAATGGTTAATTAGTGAATGAGGTCCCTGGCACAGATACAATAAGAAAGAGTAGATGTGTTTACTTGAGGAGCTTTCTATGTCTAGGCTGAACTGAAAGAAAAAGAGAGAGATTTCAAAATATATAATATATAAATTACGAGTGAAGTGTGTTTTATTCACTACATGCAGAATTCAAAACATTGGTTTATTTTCACCTTTCGTGAAGCCATATTTACATACTTTATTTTTTGTGCTTAAGTTGATTATTTAATGATATAAAATGTAGGATCACTTAAAAGTAAACATAACGCCTAGAACATAGCTGTAAGTCACAACATCTCTTCAACAAGCAACAACACATCGTAAACAAATATTTTCAAAAGATTTGATAGAAACTCAACTAAGTTATGTTTTTTGTGAATATAATCATAGTAATAATGTATCAGCTAAATAATACATATATATTGGCAATATTCTCGTTGTTTTCAAGATTTTAGCTATGTATATAAGCATTATATTTTGAATAAACATTTTTAAAATGTATTCTGTAAGCATTTGTCCTACTAAGTCTTGTTATTTTTATTTTAAAGCAGTGGTTCTCAGCCGGTTTTACCAAATGACCCCCCAATAACTCTACATGGATGATTTGTTTTTTTTTGGAATTTCGCACAAAGCTACACGAGGGCTATCTGCGCTAGCCGTCCCTAATTTAGCAGTGTAAGACTAGAGGGAAGGAAGCTAGTCATCACCACCCACCGCCAACTCTTGGGCTACTCTTTTACCAACGAATAGTG